AAAAGCCATGTTTGCCAGTTCACAAAGACTCAAACTCCAAAACAATAAAAATAAACAAACTCCAAAACACAGCCATCTTTGCCAGTTCACAAAGAGAGTTCATAGTGACCACGGCTGTCAAACTCCAAAACAAAACCAAAAACAGCCATATGTCTCCCCAACAGAAAAAATAACATCATATGGGTTTGGAACGACATGAGAGTGAGTACATCACAGCAGAATTTCCTTATTGTGTGAACTGTGCCTTTACTGAGCATGCTCAGTGCTCACCCACCTCAAGCTCCTTCAGCAGACTCTCTGCAGGCTTCTTACTGGTGATTTTGTTCTTATAGATCTCTCGGTACTTTTTCACATGTTGCCGATGGTGACGGATGCGTTGCCAAGACCACATGTAAAGGCGGGGCTTTACATTGACCTCCAAAATGCCTGTGATCACATATCGCCACCTATGAGAACCACAAAAAAATTAAGTACAGAGCCTCATGGAATTAAATAATAGTCAAGACCACAATCTCGAAATGCACTGACCACTGATGCGCATTAGTGTGAACTGCCACATCTGGACGATATTTCCTGTAAGGAAGGTTCCGGGTCATCATATCCACCGATCCCAACAGCTCCAGAATGCTCACGTACTAGAAAACAACAAAAAGTTACATTCAAGCCATAATTACATTCAAAATATGTCAATGAATTATTCACTGAATTGCACAAAATTAAATGGATGTCTTCCACACCTGTGGACGGCTAAGTTCAACAGCCACCTCAGGGAGGTTGACCACTAGATCCACTTTTGGTGAGGAGAAGTCCACATCGGAGCGAGGATTCATGCGCAGCTTGGCGTTTGCAGATATTGGACGAAAGACTAAAGCAAAAGCACACAAAAACAAAGCTGGTTTGCATTTCATAGAGACATACACATTGTGAATGAAATAAAGCTGGAACTCACTGAAATGATAATCTTGAGGGATAGTGCTCTGGATGGCTACACTGTGCTTCAGGTGTCGCTATAAAAAATGTACAAACAATGAAAATGTGCAATTTCTTTTCCTTGGACTAAAAGTTTAATAAAATCTGAAGACCCTACCAGAGCCTCATCAGGGTTGTGGTTGGAGTAGAGCTCTGAATTCACATTCCAGTACGCAAACAGATTGTCCAGACGTACAAGCTAAATGACGCAACAAGCGGTATTAACTAGTGAATAATAGTGGTTCGTTTTGCTACTCATAATGGTGAAAGTGAAAAAGACATGTTTTGACCTTGAAAAACAGCTTGGCTTTCTCATCCAGAAGACATGGCGTCCAATTCTGATCAGCTGTCTGGAAAATTAAACACAAAGTGCAGACTGGTTTTACAAAGCAACACGAAAATAGTCCAAATTTAAGTCAACAGCCATGATATAGCATACAGTTCAACACTTACCTATGTGTCCCGCTCTGACTTTGAAAGGAATGTCCAGTTGACTCTGTTTCAGAAATAAGACTCACATTAGAGAGCAAGTCAAGGAAGCACACCTTCACAGAGCATTAGAATAATGAATGAATGCTTCGTTAATGGATTTCATGTACAACCAAAAGACAGTACATGTCTAACACGAAACATAAAGCAACATACCAAGGCATTTTCTTTTATCTCAAGGTTTCTTAATATGGCATCACCTGCAAAAGAAACATTGACACATTACATAGTGCTGAATATTACCAGCCTTAGTCTAAAATAATTCACATCTCACTGAGCAAATATTTACAGTTGTATTAAAAGCTACTTATCAGGAAGTCAATAAGACGCATGGCATATCATTAAACTCTACAGGGTGGGGGACTTTGAACATCCTGTATTCCTTTGTCCTTGTGTTGTTGACGAATTTAGCATTCACTACAATGAATGAATGAAGTGAGACCATAGCAGTAATTCTCATCAGCCAGGCCTCTCCTTTTTCTTGCTTGTTTTCAAACTTTTTGTATGAAACTGGAAGTGTGTTATATAGTCAAATAAAGCACATACATTAAATACAATACTTACACACACACACACACACACACACACAAATGAAATAGCACAGAGGTTATCTGGATTTGACACCTGGCAGGTTTACCTCCCCATATGCCGAGGCTGAGCTGCGAGCTGTCGAGGTTCACCACATAGTCCCCCAGAAACCGGTTCAAGACATCGACCACCACTGACTCAAACACCATCTTCGCGTCCTGCTCACACAACCTTCAGCATGCTTTCCTTCGTCTGCGGTTCGTGTGCCACCCGAGAATGTGGTTGTATTTACTGACTGTCCCGTTTCCTGAAATACACAGCGCTGGAAGGACTGGGAGGTCCCGCGCGACACCGCCCTCTGCTGCCGAACATCCTGCGCGACGCTGACCTCCGCATAGCGTCGTGGTGGATCACGTGCGCCTCGCCAGCCAATCGCGCAGTGGCTTGGGCACACACGGGAAGAGGTGATCGTTTGGATCCTTCGGCTCGGCTCGGCTCGGCTCGGCTCGGCTCGGCTCGGCTCGGCTCGGCAAAAGAGCCGGCTCCCAAACGGCTCTTTATTTAGCACCACTTCCGGCTTTTATAATTCAGCCTAATTTGTCAATGTTTTGACCTATGTCTGATATGTGTGCACAAATATAATTAAATTATTCAAAGTAATTAAACTAAACCATTAAAAAAAAATTAACAAAAATATATATAAAATGCCATGTAATATTCAGTTTTGTTAAATTACGCTATGATTCAGATTTACACAATTCAAATCGTTTTGTCACAGCCTATTTCTGGCTCCATTCGCCTTTCCGAAATATCATAATTGTACATTATTTTTGGCATAAAAACCAAAAACCTAATTTACGTAAAATGACAGAACATTATTATCCAGATTGCACAGACGTCTTTAAGATGTCTGCTGAAGAGTGCTTGATCTGGGAAACATCTGCTGTGTAAAAACATCTGATAGACGTCTTAGAAGAAGAAGAAGAAGAAGAAGAAGAAGAAGAAGAAGAAGAAGAAGAAGAAGAAGAAGAAGAAGAAGAAGAAGAAGAAGAAGAAGAAGAAGAAGAAGAAGAAGAAGAAGAAGAAGAAGAAGAAGAAGAAGAAGAAGAAGAAGAAGAAGAAAAGCAGATTTACATACATTCTAAATCAGAAGCATCTTCAAGACATCTAATCTAACCTAGTTCAGTGCTCAAAATATCACTCAAATCTCACTTGTGATTATCTAGCAATTAAAAAACGGGGACAATATATTTTTGTATGTTTTTTTTTTGTGGGTTCCATCTATTAATATCATAATGAATAATTACAGTGATGTATGAGGATCAAACTTACCCTAGTTTTTTAATACAATTCACCAAAAAGCACACTATGAAAAATATAAATAGCAACCTTTGCAAATAGCCAACATATCAAAACAGTATTATAACAAAATTACGGCTTTACAAAAACACATTAAAACAAATCTTGACTAAAGTGGCGGCGCGCGACCTCTGCTGGTGAAAATGCACCAGAAACACTGGTCACCCTGTCTTAGAGACATGTTGCAAATGTGCAAACACTCTAAAAATACATCTTGCAGATGTAAATGCAGACATTAAATATATGTGATGTGTTCAGGGTAGCCTATGTGCTCTCAGGGCAGTGAACTATCCAAAACACAAGCTGCAAATCATACTCAAAATGTAACATGGTGTGCCATATAGCAGATAAAAACTAAATTATAGTGTGCAAAAAAAGAAGCATCCATCACAGTTGCATCGTTACATCTATTAACCCTGTCCCATTGTGCACCTGTGTTAACTGATGTGTTTGTGCGAGCGAGAATCATCCTGTACACTGTACACATCAAAGTGCATGAAGTACAAGAACCGCCCACTGAGGCTCGGACTCCTGATTGACATGTAAACTGGCCAACCAGCGATCAGAAGCTGTAGCAGCTGCTTCAGGGATCAGTAATAACTTATCTATAATAAAATACTTTTACTGTGAAGAAACACATATAGATATTTAATCAGAATTATATGATGCAGTCTTGCATGGACACACATAAGCAAAATATTAAGAAAAAAATATTAAGTGATTTAAACTGTAGAGACAATATTGTCCCTTTTTTTTATATATATATATATATATATATATATTGTTGCTTTATTTAGCTAAAGAAAATGTCTCCAAACAAAGCCATGTTGTGCAGCAACACTTTCCTTACCGAATCAATTTGCGTTTTAAACAAATCGAGTGAGTCAATGATTCACTGATCCATTCATATAGAAACATCAGGCGATTTGAAAGAATCGATTGAATAAATGACTCAGAGACTCACTCATTAGGCTTGCCGCCACCTACTGGTAATTTTAGTTTCATATTTAAAAATATAATCTTTTCTATAATTTCATATTTCTAGATTCCAGTTTTTGTATTTAAACTTTCATATTTAAAAATATAATCTTTTCTATAATTTCATATTTCTATATTCCAGTTTTTGTATTTAAACCATTAATCTAATAACATTATTTATGCAATTTGTAAGTGCAGTGTAAATGCATTCACAAGTGCTAGAAATATAAAAATAAAATAAAATAAAATGAGCGTATAGAACCCTGCATGTTTAATTAGGCCTATACTTGGCTTTAAAAAAAGCCACTTAGCCAATGTAACTTTTGAACACAAACACACACACACGCACACACACACACACACACACACATAGGCCCTACATTAAATAAGTGTATCCCGTGTATTCTGACACATACATGGATGTCTCTGAGCCAAGCCCCGGATATCTCACCCTAGAACTGCCCCTAATCGCACCTATCGCAAAATGTATATATATATATTAGTGCTGTCAAATTATTAATCGCGATTAATCGCATCCAAAATAAAAGTTTTTGTTTACATAATAAATTGGTGTGTACTGTGTATATTTATTATGTATATTTAAATACACACACATGCATGTATATATTTCAGAAAATTTTTATTTTTATATATTACATATATTTATTTATAATATAAATTATATGAATATAATTATAGACATGTAAATACATGTACATATTTTCAAAATATATACTGTATGTGTGTGTATTTATACATACTTAAAAAACACACACATACATTATGCAAACAAAAACTTTTATTTTGGATTTTTTTTTTTTTACTGTGTTTAATCTGTCTCCTTGAAATTAATCTGTAATGTCAAATTTAGACAGGCAGTGGTAAAACTTGAGAACAAGTGAAGGTGTATCTTTAAAATAAGTGGAAGTTACTTGTATGCAGGGCCGGATTCACCTCTTATCGTGACATAGGCAAAACACATTTTTGTTCAAGTTGAACTGCTTCAAGAACCCCGCTACTGAGAAAAGTCATGTAGCTTTTCAGCTGCGAAACTATTTTATTGATAAAGTTGCGGGGCATCGCTGACGAGTTTCTGTTCGTGTCTCTCCGCGTGTGTGCCTGTCTGTGTGCGACTGAGAACGGAAGAAAAAAAGTGTGATTTCCGTAGGTGGAAAACATGGAAATAATTTGTCGTTTTTTACCCTATTGTTTGTTATATTTATTTGCTGAATGTCTTCTGGGGTTTTGGTTATTTTACTGTTGTAGATAGCCCATAGTATAACAAAAATATGATATATCTCTTCATTGTGTCTGGGCCCCCCTAGACGAGCGAGCATAGGCACGTGCCTGCGTAAATTCGGCCCTGCTTGTTTGTGTTTGTTTGTATCAACTCTTTTAATTTAAACTTAATTTTAAACATGTCCGTAGTTCTTAGGTCAAAATGCAAAGTTGAATATCCCTGATCTTGGTCTTAAATTAAAGGGGTCATATGATGCTGTTCTAAAAGAACATTATTTTGTGTATTTGGTGTAATGAAATGTGTTTATGCGGTTTAAAGTTGTTTAAACTTTAAATTATCGTAAAACTGTACATTATTGTTTCTCCTCTATGCCCCACCTTTCTGAAATGCTTAGATTTTTACAAAGCTCATCGGTCTGAAAAGCGAGGTGTGCTGTGATTGGCCAGCTATCCAGTGCGTTGTGATTGGCCTCAAGCGTGTGACGGAAACGTCCCTATCATACTGTGATGCCTGCGGCAACCACATGTGACGACCCCGGGCTGGACTCCGCTTCGTCCACGGTGAAAGCCGATCCGGTGATCCACAGCGTGAAGTTGATGTATTTCCTCAGCGACCAGCACAGATCAGCTCTAGGCATGACGAAGCGGATATCGTCCTCTTTTGGAAGGCCAAACAAAGTAGTTTCACTTTCACAACGAAACACACAGCGCCTTCACGACATGGTGGCGGCAACAACAATACTACAGCGAGAATAAAAGTTGCACCTTCTTTCTTTGCGTGAACATTTGGGCGGCGTTATGCAAATCTTCCCACATAGTGACGTAGACATGTGGGGGCGTGTTAGAACGAGCCGTTTTAGGAGGGCGTGGTTGACTCTTAACTTTTATAAAGAATATCTCTTTGGATTTGAGACTTTAGTCTTTGCAACTTTACAGATCTTCTTTATGCACCAAGAGCTTGTAACACTCCAAAGAGAAAGGAAAAATTTAAATCACATCATATAACCCCTTTAATGGTTCACCCAAAAATGAAAATTTTCTGAAAATGTACTCATTCTCAGGCCTTCGGGATGTAGATGAGTTTGTTTCTTCATGGGAGCAGATTTGGAGAAATTTAGCATTTCATCACTTTCTCACCAACGAATGCTCTGCAGTGAATGGGTGCCGTCCAAACAGCTGATAAAAACATCACAGTAATTCACAAGTAATCCACACCACTGCAGTCCATCAGTTAACATCTTGTGACGTGAAAAGCAGTGTTTTTTCAAGAAACAATTCATCATTTAAGTGTTTTCACTTTAAAGCATCGCTTCTGGCCAAAACACGGGTTCATAATCCATTATCACTTCCTCAAGTGAAAAAGTCAATTCCCTGTTGATCACTCACATCAAAATCCTCCCACGTATTTGTTCAGAACTCATTTTCGCTTGTAAACGGTGCTTGATCTGTGCATATGTTTAACTATATTTCTAATTCCTTCATAGTCAAGTAATATTATTCAGAAGCATCTGGACTACAATTACTCACTTATGAAGTCTGCTGCATCGCAATCACTGATCGAAATAAAACTTTACACTGCATATAATGATTTTCATTTAACTGAATGAAATCTGCACTATAATTCTTCCACTTGGGTCTTGTAAGTTTTGCTAGTAGTACCTCACCCTGTCTTTTCTTTGAAATATGCTTCTTACTCCTGTATAAATGTTTGCAGTAATTATTAGAGGTTATACGAGTGAGGACCCATTGGTGAGCAAGTGACTGAAATCTGAAACAAACTCATCTATATCTTGGACGGCCTGAGGATGAGTTAATTGTCAGCAGATGTTTACAATTGGGTGAAATATTTCTTTAAGTCAGCTCAGGGAAAGGTAAAATGATAAATAAATGTATGAAATGACACATTGCACGTCCTTTCCGCTGACCACTTTTACACTTAAATATAATGAAAAAAGGTCATGTTCTACCACATACAGTATATTAAACTGAAATTGATGAATTGTTTAAAAATATTTTGCTTAGCTAAAAGGTCGTATAAAAGACAGCTGCACACGTACATAATAGAAAATGAAACATTCTGCACAGAAAAATGCTTTCAAAATGTTCATTTTTCTTTTTTTCGGTGTGAAAACATTGACTAAAACACTGCAGGTAGTAACAATGGCAACCAGATTACAGTGAACAAACGCAACAACTTGAAATACAAAAAGAAAGCCACTTGTGTTTTCACTGGCAGCTCATTTCTGTGGCCGGGAACTGTGGTAGTGTTTGCTTAAACTCTCTTAAGACAGTGACATGATTTGTGCACACATAATCTAGAATGAACGAGACATCCGTCACTACTACTACATACAGGTATAAGATCGCATTTAAATGGTTCACGCTTAAGTTCAGCTAATTACATTTAAAATAAATTACAATTATAATACATTTTCATGTAATTCTAAATAGCATTGGTCACATGACGAGAGTGATGCGAGACACATATGATCCAAAAGCGCAACTTTTGTTGATAAGTTTCATTTCTTCGTTTTATATAAGCGAGTTTGTCTTTATTGTTGCGGTGTTTCATTAAAATATAGATATATATATAAATAAATAAAACAATGAACCACAAACTAAGCATTTGTTTTAAAAGAGGTAAAATACCTTATTTATTTGGTTTAGCCTTCAACGCAAGTAGGCTATATCCATCTTATTCATTTTGTTAATAAAAGTTAGATGTTTAATATAGGCCTATGCGAATTTGCCATTGTACTACTTTATGGCTGATGTGTTTTATTAATAGGCTAATAATGAACCACAAACTACAATCGTTTTACACTTAAAGAAAGGGGAAATCCAAAGACTGTTTATTTGTGTTACAATGCGGGTAAAACATATTTTCCTTATTCATACAAAAGTTCAAAGTTGAATATAAGTGAATTTGTCATTGTACTGTTTTATTGTATAGCCTATTTGTATTATTATTATTAATAATAATGAGCCACAAACTAAGCATTCGTTTGAAGTAAGGGAAAATTCCAAAAACCTTTTATTTATTTGTTGCAACGCGAATGTCTTATTCGTTCTGTTAATAAAAGTTGTATGTTTAATATAAGCTACTTTGTCATTGTAGTATTGCTGATGTTTTTTTTCATTAAGAGTAATACTGAATCAACTTTAAGCATTAATTTTGTTCCAAGAATAGGAACGATCTAACGTTAAAGATCAAAACTTGCTGCAGATGCGAGAATGCGAGATTGGTTGCTGCTGAGGTAAATAGACGCTCTCGCTCTTTCTCTGCTGTATCTTTGCAGTGGCTGTAGAAATGGTCGTTGATTCTTGATTAGGGTCCGGCACAGACATGTTACAGGTAATAATAATATTATCAAAAAGTCATGGCAACACACGACTTCCTAAATCAGTTTAAGTTGAAACGACTTTCACAATCAATTTGATTCAACTTAATTCATGTTTTACTGTTGCTTACTGTCATTGTAAGCTTAGGCTACTTTTTTTCTATGGATTTTAAGGAATATACAAATTAATAAAATTAGTTTTATTTATTTTTTTGTAACAAAATTTCCATTTATTTATTTTTAACACCTTACCCCCCCATTTTTTATTGGGCTACACGCCAGGGGGTGCTACAGCACCCTCAGCCCCCCTACTTGCCGCGGTAATGCCGCCAGCATCCTTAGCATGTCTAACCCCACATTATGGGGGCAAAAACATCTTTCTCTATTAATGGCTACATATTTAGGAAATCAAATTTGGCATAAATCACAAACATTTCATTACAAATAGCTTTTCTGGTTTTTGATGCACATAATCTGGAAATATCTAAATAGGGAAACAAAGAATGTTCCAGTGTATGTAAACATGAAGTATCTAACAATAGCAGGATGCTGCTGCTGTCGCTTTACGAACACCAGCTGTTAGACTCCAGCTTATTACTCACCTCCTGTGAAAGGCATGTTGGCATGGCAACACTCCCAGCTCATCTTTCACCTTAAAGTCCTCCAAGCACACGGCACAGGTCTGCTGTGGAGGAACGTCACGGGATGTGGAGACACAAATAACAATGAGGAAAAGTGGAAAAAATAACTCTTGAAAGCTTTTCAGAGATATAACAGCACACTAAAAAACTCATTTGATCATGGGATTCAGTCAGAAGGACATCAGGATGAGATTTACTTGCTTGTGGGCTTTTATATTAAACTACAGCTGGTCTGTAGAGGCTTCTGCAGTGTTTTTATGTAGTTACAGTAAGAAATATATCTGTTATTTATAACATTGTGATGTTATTTCATTTTTTACAGTGTATATATCACTACTGGCCAAAAGTTTGGAATAATTAGGATTTAAAAAAATTTTTTTTTAAGTAATTTCCACTCACCAAAGTTATGTTTATTTGATCAAAAATTCAGCTGTAATATTGTGAAATATTATTACAATTTTTCTATTTTCTGTTTTTGCATCACAGGAATAAATGACATTTTAAAATATGTATTAAAAAATAGAAAACAGTTATTTTAAACTGTAATAATATTTTAATGTGTATTTATTTTTTTATTTTTTTTCTATGACTGCTCCAGGCCTGGGAATCCCTGATATTTCCTGTTTTTTAGGAGTATTGGGGATCTAGACAGGGCAGTTTCTTACCCCATGAAGATTCAGCTTTTTCGGGTCTCCTTTTAAAATCACCTGCAGTTGACACAGTTAGTAAAAAATTGCCTTGATTATAACATTATATTTGGAAAAAACGAAATGATAAAAATGTAAGAGATGACCTCTTTAAAGCATCTTACCTCTCTGTATCCAAAGCGTTCACTTTGGGCTTGATGTCTCAATTTACTATTGATGACAAAAGAAAACATAAAGCATACAGTTACTGAACAATGATGAGAAATGCAAAAGAGTTCATATAATTCACTAAGTTTTCAGCATTGTTATTATAAGTTGAGTCACTTACAAAATTGGCAATATCAAAATTATCCCACTAGCATACAGTGCGATTAGTCTTTTTGCTCCTTGCACTGTAAATAAACATGAATAGGGACAACTGGCTTTCATTATATATGTTCCACTTCCTCCTCCACCTTTTTCTAATTCTGACTTTAATTGAAACACTTTCTGCATTGTTTGGATACAAAGCCAAACAAATTATTTTTACATCCAGAGGTTTTTCACTGGTGTGTGAACAGTTTTGAATACAGTTTTGATGTTTAAAAAAATGCTATTCATGAGCGCATGGTGTAAAATGTTGATTGTGCTGATTGCGTTTATAGTTTTAAAATACAGGTTTGCAGATTTGCAATGTATGAAACACTGGAACACTATTTGTAATTTTTAATTGAAATGGAATTATGTTTTAAGATATTTGGCTAATAGGACTGACTTTAATGTCTGTAATGGACTGATGTAGCGGTGGTCTCTATAAGAGAAATAAGTAGAAAAGAAAAGAAAAGAAATAAGAAAAGAAAAAAACATTGGATAGATGAGGAAAGAAAAGAGGAATAGGTAGAAAAGAAAAGAAAATCTCGGAAAAGGTCGGATAGTTTATGAAAGAAAAGATATTCAATAGAATTGGACAGGATAAAAAAGAAAAAAGGTAGCATAGATAAGGAAAGAAAAGAAAAAAAGAAGAGAGAAATAGGCAGAAAAGAAAAGAAGAAAAGAAAGCAAAGAAAGAAAAGAAAAGAAAAGAGAAATAGGTAGAAAAGAAAGAAAAGAAAAGAAAGAAAAGAGAAATATGTAGAAAAGAAAAGAAAAAAAGAAAAGAAAAATAGGTAGAAAAGAAAAGAAAAGAAAAGAAAAAAGGTCAGATAATTAAAGGAAAGAAAAGAAATCAATAGATTTAATTAAATAGAAAAAAGAAAAGAGAAATAGGTAGAAAAGAAAAGAAAAGAAAAGAAAAGAAAAGAAGGTTGGATAGTTAAGGAAAGAAAATAAATCAATATAATTGGACAGGATAGAAAAGAAAAAAAGAAAAGAAAAATAGGTAGAAAAGAAAAGAAACGAAAAAAAAAGGTCAGATAATTAAAGGAAAAAAAAGAAATCAATAGATTTAATTAAATAGAAAAAAGAAAAGAGAAATAGGTAGAAAAGAAAAGAAAAGAAAAGAAAAGAAAAGAAAAGAAAAGAAAAGAAAAGAAGGTCGGATAGTTAAGGAAAGAAAATAAATCAATATAATTGGACAGGATAGAAAAGCAAAAAGGTAGCATAGATAAGGAAAGAAAAGAAAAAAAGAAGAGAGAAATAGGCAGAAAAGAAAAGAAAGAAAGAAAAGAAAAGAAGAGAAATAGATAGAAAATAAAATAAAAGAGAAATATGTAGAAAAGAAAAGAAAAATAGCTAGAAAAGAAAGAAAGAAAGAAAGAAAGAAAGACAAAAAGAGAAAAGAAAAGAAAAGAAAAGAAAAGAAAAGAAAAGAAAAGAAGGTCGGATAGTTAAGGAAAGAAAATAAATCAATATAATTGGACAGGATAGAAAAGCAAAAAGGTAGCATAGATAAGGAAAGAAAAGAAAAAAAGAAGAGAGAAATAGGCAGAAAAGAAAAGAAAGAAAGAAAAGAAAAGAAAAGAAGAGAAATAGATAGAAAAGAAAAGAAAAGAAAAATAGGTAGAAAAGAAAGAAAGCAAGAAAGAAAGAAAGAAAGAAAGAAAGAAAGAAAGAAAGAAAGAAAGAAAGAAAGAAAGGTTGGATAGATGAGGAAAGAAAACAAGAAAAGTGAAAAAGAAAAGAAAAGGGCAGGATATTTGAGGCGGATTGTTTTGACCTGTAATACAATCGTTCCATTAATAACAGCTCATCTAATGTGTTGCTGACATGAAGCGTCCTGTTGACGACTGCATGTGTATCATCAACAATGCCATTTCCTATTGACTTTCACTGCCGGCCCCTCACAATATTGTCCTACAGCTAATCAGTAAGATGTGTTCAAGTCAATACCTGTGTGTGTGTGTTCATGTGTGTGCGTGAGATCAGACTCACCTTATAAAATAGCAGCAGAATATGAGGCTGAGTACGAAGACGAAGATGCCTGTGCCGAAGATCACCATATAGATATTGAGCGGAAGGTCCTGGAAGGTGACAGATGACATAGTGCAGGTCTTATTGGAGTAGATCAGTCCCAAACCGCAGAAGCACCCTATACAAGCAGTGAAATCTCATCAGTAACACATACAACATGAAAAAACCCATCATTCAAACAGAACTAATCAGTTACATGTCTGTATTAGAGCACAAATATAGCTCTCCTCTCATCTGACTACAGGTTCGATTACTAATCTAACAGTGTTTCAGACTTGAGTCCACCATTCACTGGCCAAAAACAGGAAACATTAAGGGCTAGTCTAGATTCTCTGTAAGAGGAAACGCAGGTGTGTGAACTGACTGCTAACAGTCATTACATCATTAGAATTTGGTTCCAGCATTGTGAAAGATTCACCCTGCAGAATCCAGTGGTCCTTTGGACCATCCCTTGTGAAAAAGAAGTGTTTAACTATACTGAATGTATATCTTAAAAATATATATATCTTAAAAACTGTACTTTCAATTCATATAACTGAAATAAAATTCCCCTTAAGTGTGCTTAAAGAGAGTTCACTTCCAAGACTATTTCTTAACACAAACACAACAAATCCTTTTTGGTTTCAAAAATGCCTTAAAGGGATAGTTGACCCAAAAATGAAAATTACCCCATGATTTACTCGCCCTCAAGCCATGCTAGGTGTATATGACTTTTTGCTTTCAGATGAATACAATCAGAGTTATATTAAAAATATCTTGGCTCTTCCCAGCTTTATAATGGCAGTGAATGGGTGTCGAGATTTTGAAGTCCAATAAAGTGCGTCCATCCATCATAAAAAGTGCTCCACATGGCTCCGGGGGATTAATAAAGGCACTCTGAAGTGAATCAATGTGTTTGTGTAAGAATAATATCCATATTTAAAACTTTATAAACCGTAATCTCTAGTTTCCACTAACTGTTGTACGCGTGTTCACGAGAGAGTGGGGTCCAGCGGAAGATGTAGGACGTAGGCATAGCGTAAGCTCTGGTGAGAATATGCTAGTGTCACGAGTAGTTTTATTTACAGCAAAGGAAAACCAGTCTACTCTTGGCTTGTATCGAAATCTTCCGGCATTTTTCTTTACAAATCCTTGTTTTAAACTTCTAATTCATGTGTTTTGTTTTGCTCTCTCCTCTGCATTTACACGTTCGTCACTTCTCACCGGATCTTATGCTATCACGGATCATCTCATTGCCCAGCCAGCACTATAAAAGCACACACTCCTCACTGCCTCATTGTCTGGTCTCCCTTGTGGATTAAGGACTCAAAATGTATGCTCTACTTACCCGCGATCTCCTACTTACCTCCTTCCAATATCTCATTCGTCTCACTCGTGTTCTCCACCATCTCCCTCAATCTCCTCACTCCAAACCTGCTATACTCACCTGTCCCCAGCTCCTGGCAATCACCATCAACTCATCAATTCTGTGTGTGCTCTCCACCTCTGGTAAAACTAGGAAAACACTCATCAGTATCTTCATTAATTCACTCAAGACTGTCTATGTACTTGAACTTACCTGCCATTATCTATTGCTACAAAACTGTTAATAAACACACCTGTTGGGTTAACATTTTATCTTGTCTCTGAGTCTGGCATTCCATAACAGAAGACCAGACCAATACAGCATAAACCTGGCAGGTGTGGATCCCCTCCAGGAGCTGGTGGATTCCCTCCACAAGGTCCTCAGCACACCTGTTCGTACTCCCACTGCACCACCAGCACCTGTTTCCGCACCAGCGGTTTCTTCGGCACACATCTACACTGCCATTCCCATGGTCAATCCAGCAGCCTACTCTGGCTTGGCGGATGAATGCAACGGGTTCCTCCTACAGTGTTCGCTCACCCTAGAGATGCAGCCACATCATTTCCCGACTGAAAGAGCTCAAATCTCCTTCATTCTGTCTCTACTCTCAGGTTGAGTGCTCCAGTGGGCTGAATCTCCGCAAGACGGACCAGCAACCCATTCACTCAATGCCTTCATTGCTCATTTCTCAGAGGTTTTTGGAAGACCGGTCGGAGATTTAGTGAGCAATTATACCATCTTTGTCAAGGCAAGAGCTCTATTCAAGATTATGATCTCCAATTCAGAACCATAGTAGCTTCTAGCAGATGGAATGAACGCTCTCTGTTAACCACCTACTGCCAAGGATTGGAGCCCTATCTACGGCTGCATCTCTCGGCTTACGATGACACCATTGGGCTTGAGTGCTTTATTCAACTGCCCATCAGAGTCGCCAACTGAGTAAAGGGCTGTGTGGAGGATAATTGGTACCAAAAACCGGCTTTCCTTTTCCGCCAGCCAGAGGATCCCAGTTCTCCAGAACCTAACCCCAACCCAGGCAGATCAACCATGCACACCTGTCCTTGGCCGAGCATCAATGTTGGCTGACCTAGGGGTTATGTTTATATTGTGACCAGAGTGGACATATTTTACAAACATGTCATATATGCCCTCCTAGACCCATGGCGAGTATTGTTGCCTATTATCCTGGTAATGTACATCCACTCATCACTATTGTTCAGCTCACTACTCTCCACCACTCTTACAGTTCGTGCCCTTCTTGACTCTGGATCGGCCGGCAACTTCATCTCTGAAGACCTATGCAACCAACTCCAGCTCGAGAAAAAAGTAAACCACATTCAATAAAAGATTCAATCCATCACTGGTGGTCCCCTCAATTTGGGAAAAGTTCGATGCTGCATTGGTCCACTCCAGCTTCAGGTCGGTCAGCTACATACCAAGGACATCTGCCTGTTGGTTCTGGAAAACTCTATTGCTGGGATTGTTCTAGGGCACACCTGGCTCATTTCACACGACCCTACCATCTCGTGGTCCACTGGCGAAGTCCTGAAGTGGGGCAAGGATTGTTTCTCCAGGTGTTTCCCTCAACTGCCTCGACCAGTCTCCCTGACTCCAGTTCTGCCTCTGAACTCCACCTCCATTGAAAGCCCTGTCGAGAAGCGATCCGTGGATATTCCATCATGTTATGCCCACTTGAGTGATGTTTTCAGCCCGAAACGAGCCTCTCAACTACCACCCCATAGACCATGGGACTCTGCTATCGAAATCCTGCCCGGTGAACCAGTGCCTAGAGGCAACATCCATCCATCCACTTCCCCTGCTGCTTCCAGGTTTATCTTTTATGCTAAGAAGGACGGAGGCTTGCGGCCTTGTACCAGGCACTCAACAAGATAACAGATAAATTCCGTTACCCTCTTCCTCTCATCCCTGCAGCCCTGGAACAACTTTACAGAGCTTGGATCTTCACCAAGTTGGACCTCAGGAGTGCTTACAACCTCATCCGGATACGTGAGGGGGATGAGTGGAAGACCACCTTTGTGACCCCTACTGGCCACTATGAGTACTTGGTCATGCCCTATGGACTAGTCAATGCCCCCTCCGTATTCTAGGGATACATGAATGAAGTGTTCTGGGAGTACCTCCATCGGTTCGTCCTGGTGTATATTGATGACATCTTAGTGTACTCCCAGAACGAGGCCGGATATCGCCAGCATGTTACAGAGGTCCTCAAGAAGCTCTGCAAACACCAACTGTATCTCAAAGCTGAGAAATGTACCTTCCATCTGTCCTCCATCCAGTTCCTCGGATATGACATCAGTTCCAAAGGTATCAAAATGGACGAGAGGAAGGTGGATGCTGTCAAGTCCTGGCCCACGTAGGCCCAAGTCTGTCCTGGACCCCAGAAGCTACTGAGGCAATGAAGACGCTCCAACAAGCCTTCACCTCAGCACCTCTCCTGATCCACCCCAATCCTGAGAAGCCCTTCATCATGGAAGTGAATGCTTCTACCTTAGAAGTCGGTGCCATTTTGTCACAGCAGCAAGGGACTCCTCCTAGACTCCATCCATGTGCCTTCTTCTCCAAAAAGCTATACCTGGCAGAACAAAATTATGACATTGGGAACCGGGAGCTTCTGGCCATCAAGCTATCCCTGGAGGAATGAAGAAACTGGCTGGAGGGGGCCCGCCACCCATTTGTAGTGCTCACTGATCATCGAAATCTCAAATATCTATGTGATGCTAAATGGCTAAATCACAGGCAGGCCAGGTGGGCCTTCTTCTTCACACGCTTCAACTTTACCATCTCCTATCATCCAGGAACCAGCCAGTGCAGCCGCTAGTGTCTCTGATCCTGCTCCACCGGTGTGCACCCCTAACAGCACATATGTACCCAGAACCAAACGAAACCGAAGATTGAAACGAAGATCCAGGAGATCGACTGGATTACATCCGTACCTTCTGCCATAGCCACCATAACTGGTGGTCTCCCTTGTGGATTAAGGACACAAAACATATGCTCTACTTACCCGCGATCTCCTACTTACCTCCTTCAAAGATCTCCTTTGTCTCCCTCGTGTTATCCACCGTCTCCCTCAATTTCTTCACTCCAAACCTGCTATACTCACCTGTCCCCCACCTCTGGCAATCTACATCAGCTCATCAATCCTGTGTGTGCTCTCCACCTCTGGTAAAACAAAGAAAACACTCAATAGTATCTTCATTAATTCACCCAAGACTGTCTATTTACTTGAACTCATACTTGAACTGCCATTATCCATTGCTACAAAACTGTTAATAAACACACCTGTTGGTTTAACTTTCCATCTTGTCTCTGAGTCTGGTATTCCATAACAGCGTGATGGTGAGTAATCATAGGGTAATTTTCATTTTTGGGTGAACTATCCCTTTAATACTTTGTGGCATAGATTCAACAAGGTGCTGGACTGGGTTGCCACGTTTGCACGTTTGCACGTTTCCCGTGGAATTAGTCTACTTTTACACTGTTGCCGTGGGTTGGTTTTTAGTCCGCGGGTTAAAGCGTTCTGGCGGGAAGGCTATTTCAAATTATGGCAGAAGGTCTGGGAATCTTGGCCGCTTTGAATGGCCAAGGACTGCCCAGGAGTCCATATAACTGATAGGTAAAGCAAACAAACACATTTTGTTTTGTGCTGCATCATATTTAGGGGCGTGGAAATGTCCCCACAATGTCAGACCGTTGTGCAAAACTCTTAAGAGTCTATGCCATGAATTTAGCATATTTCACATACTTTGTAA